TTTGAGTGGTATCTGTGGATATATATATATATATATATATATATATATATTTAATACCAAGGAGTTATAAATATAAAATCAAACTTTAGGTTTTAGATACGTAAATGCAAAAGAATTGAGTGGTATGCATGTAAATTTCCCCCTTTTTCTTTAAATGTGTTAAGCATGTAACTATGTAAGCACTAGTGGCATGTGAGAGTTCATATGGTAGGCATTTAAATCCATAAGAAAAATATGTGGGATGCATGGAAATATGAAATCTTAGATGATGATGGACATGTAAATACATAGGAAGAGAGTGGTATATATGTTGATGGGGAAGTTTAAATGGCTTGCATGTAAATAATAAAGGATATGCGTGTGAGTCATAAATATGAAGGAGGGGAGCTTGCATTGGCTTTTATGGTTCAGGATTTTGAGAGAGAAAAAAAATGGCTGGAGGAAGCTTGTGGGAGGTGGTTTGGTTGGAATGGGAAGGAAAGGTGGAGTGGAGATGTGGTCTTCGTTGGAGAGAATGTGAAGAAGGAGAGTGAAGCGGAAGAAGTGTTGGAATAATAAAAAGAAGCAAGCCTCGCTCATATCAAACCATGTGCTTAAAAAAGAACATTATTTTATGTTATTTAAAATTTTCTTTTCTTTTTTTTTTATTCATTTATATTTTATATATTTATTACTATTGTTAATATTATTATTTTGTCATTTCATGTCATGTGAGCTTGATATGTATGTGTACTTTTGTCCTTTGCATGAAAATAAGTTGTAGTTGTCATGAGGATTGGAACTCTTGGGAGCTTAGGTGGACAAGTATCAATTATAGGGATTTGAGTTAAGCATGGGTTTGAGTGAGTCATAGGAATGGTTGACCACTTTTTGGTAATTCTAAAATTATGGGTAGATTAGGCTAAAAGTGGTTTGGTGGCTTGCATGAAGCTTTAGCATGGCTTGGTAGCTTGCTTGTGACTTGGTAGCTTGCATGTGGCTTGCATGGCTTGCACGAAAATGGACTTAGTGGATTTTTATATTTTTTTTATGTCATTTGCCATGAGCCTATTTTGGGGTCATTTTGATCATGAGACTTTATACCTTAGGCTTAATTGATTTTGATGTGATGAGTGGGCTCAAATTTATGTTATGAGGGCCTTTCTTTTATTTTAATTTGGTTTTGATTTTGGTGGGTGGACTTGGGCTTGAATTTGATAAATTTAAGCCATCTTTTTTTTTGGAATTTATGAGGTGGACGTTTAAGTTTATCATGATGGATTTTTTTCTTAAATTGTTTTTGGCCCTTTTGGTTTTGGTTTGTTGGGAATTTTTGAAAATTTAATTTCAATTTTGATGGAGTGTGTAAGTGTGATGGGACTGTATGTGAATGTATTTGAATGTGTGTGAATTGTAGTGGGGGCGTTGTGTATGTGTTGTGTGTGTGAATGTATGTGAATTGTAATGGAGGTGATGTGTATGTATATGTGAATGTGTGTGAATTGTAGTGGGGGTGATGTGCATGTGCATGTGTGAGTGTGTTTCAAAAATGAAAACCCCTCGACCCAAAAAGTCTTCCTAAGGCACTTTCAATCCTTTTAGAAACTTAATTGAGTTTCAAAATGTTGGCTCCAATCAACTCAAATAAATGTTGAGAATTTGGAACCACACATATGAAACTACAAAGAGTCAATAGACGGTTTAAAATTTTAAGTGATGTGGGTCCCAATACCAGTCATCTTAGAGAGTCAGTAGGGATCTTAGACTCTAAAGAATAAAACAGAACTCACTAGAAGTGAGGTCAACAGAGCCAACCATCTAATTCACTAGAAGACTATTGCTGACTATCATCAATTTCTTGAGAAGTATTGAAAAGATCGATCAGCTAGTTGATCACATCGTTGCTTAGTGGTCGGTTCTCTTCGGTTGTCGGATGGAGCATGATTGTTAAAATTAAATGTTCAGCAACAACATCGAACAATCCCGACATGGGAGAGATAACTTTCTGCACTTTAGGCGAAGAAGCATTAGAATTTGTCGCTATACCAAGTTTTTGGAAACACCAACTACCTCTTGAGCGATCAAATCAACCTAACGAGACTCTTCAACAATGTTTAGATTAGGATTCGTAATAGGAGTCGAAAGCCCTTAGTTTTCCTCCATTCTTACTACTTTTTTTGGTCGATCAACATCAGGGCCAGCAAAATATGTAACTTGAACATTTAAGTCAATCATATAATCCTTGTGTTTCTTCTTCCTCACCACCACCTTCTTCATTTTTGTTTTTTTCTCTTACAGGTACAAGAGGAGGTTCAGGGGGAAGTTGAAACTCTTCTAGATCCATCCAAAGTGTCTCATCATCAAAATGGTCTGGTGCTCTCATGTCAGACTTGGAGGCGTTTGAAATCCAATATCAGAATGAGAAGGAAAGAGGGCTGATCCTTTTTAAAAAGAACTAAAACTAGGAAGTAATTATTATGCTTTGATGAAATTTAAGTAATCATTTCCTTATCCTTTTCTAGTTACTAGGGTGCAAGAAAATTAAGGAACTAATATGTACACAGGAAAAATGTCAGCATGAATTCTATAGAGATCAAGCAATTCGAGGGGACTCCATTGTTTTCGATCGGAATTACATGCAAAGGTTTATCAAACGATCAATTAGCTTAGCCAGTGATCCCATCAAACATAAATGACCGATTGAGTCAGCCAACTACCAAAATCGAACAGAAGCGAGGCAACCGCTAGTTAAAAGTAAAAGTAAGTCATATATTATGTCTAATAGACGCAAGCAATCATGAAAGTGACGCACATTTAGTTATTTGCATTAGAGGCAGTTACACTAACCACCGAAAATTAGGGAAAAGATAAGAAATACCCTCCGACCATTGAGATAAGGGCGAAAATGTTGTAATTATATACTCAAGCTAACTATGGTTAAACATAGGGGCTATTTTATGAATAAAATTTACTCACCCTTCTCCCTGAATTTTCTTTAGTCTTGTATCATCTTTTTTTTTTCTTTTTTCTACTCTTCTTTCATATTCTAAACTCTTTAAGGCGTGCCCACTACGATAATTTAGGATTCAACAACTACAATACATTGAATCGGTGAAAATATCATACTTGCATAATTATTATATCATTTAAATTATGTTAAATTATTTTTATTATTGATCATGTCAATTGATGATTGAACCACTGATCCACGAACCTTTCATTCTGAGTCAAAGTTTGGCCTGCTTTTCATAACCTTGCTAGCTTTAATATATTTAATGTTTACTACTACTTTCTTGAGTGGCATGGGCTGTAACATTGTTATTTGTATACTCGTCCACAGTAAAACAAAGTTGGCCCTTAGCCCAAGAAGATCACTGGCATTTACATACATACCACCCAATTCCTATGTATTTACATATCTAACACATTAGTTTTACCCGTCACATTTATGCCACCAAAATCATTCATATCACATCAAAACTACCAACATTTTAACTTCTAAAAGGTAAAATATATTGGTATGGTACTAAATGAAATTAAGTGGTATTTATGTAAATCTTCCGACGAGGTTTTCAATTTGTCTCAGCTTGGCTAAAGTTAAAGAGCAACTTACACAAGAAGTAAAGAAGAGCAAGAAGTGTGAAGAAGGGTGAAAATAGAAATTTTCAAGTATCATTTTATTGGAATATGGCCATCAAGCCCTCCATGAGAGGAAGGCCATCAAGCCCTCCATGAGGGAAATTTAACGCAATAGAATGCCTTTTCTTCTTTTAATTTCTTCTTTCTTCCTCTTAAATCTTTTTGGGGTTTTATATTTTTTGGCTTTTCCATCTTATGACTGACTCATCAATTACAAATAATACTTAATGTGTCCCCAGAGTGAATGGCTTAATTTGAGAACCTTCATGACAAAGCTAGCCACTTCAAATCTTCAGCAAGAAGCTCTCCAAATCCTTATGGAAAAAGCCAATTCTTGACCATTACAAATCTATAATAATATACTTCTTTTATTCAAGCATGGTTGCTTATGTAAAGTAGCAAATATAGCTGTTCTTAGAGCAATACATCATTATTAGTTCCCTCATTCACTAATATTTAAGCTGATTTACCATGAAAATACATTTTTTCTAAACAAAAAATACAAGACTTGAAAATGTTATAAGGTATGCAAATTTGACCATTAAAGTTGCGAAAGCAAATTCATCTGATAAGTTCTTTTTTGTGTACATTGGTTGGAAAGATGATGAAGTATCCCAAAAGTTTGAATGATCTCCAAAATCTCATCCTTTATTTAGATTTCATTGAAGAGTTCTCTATGCACCTAAATAGCTATAGGCTACTAGACTTGTTAATTTAATAATATAAATTTATTAAATCTCGTTATATAATTTTATTTATATTAATACAATTACTTTTGTATAGGGGTGTAAACAAGTGTTCGGCTCGTTTATATTTCGAGCTCAAAATGTGTGTGCGTGTTCGGCTCGTAAAACAAGCCGAACATGA